TATAACAGTTGTTTCGGTATCCTCGTCGAATCCATACGCCACACATGACCGAGCCACCACAGGTATCAGCAACAGAATGCATTCCACTGCATACATCCCACTTTGTCGCAACGCTTCTGTGTCAGCAACTCTGTCGCCCCATCCGATTCGCAAAATTCGTCGCAAACACTGCTGATGGAACCGCTTGAGATATCCCACATCCCGACGGTACATCGTCCACGTTTCACTGCCGTATAGAAGAACGGACAGCACCATGGATTTGTACACCATCAGCTTCGTGCCAATGGTAAGCTGATGGTTGTTCCACATTCGGTACTCTTGCTTCCGTATGCCACCGCTACTTTCGGCACACGGATACGCAGCTCACTGTGTACCTGCGGATCAGTCGACATCACACTCGCAAGGTAATAGAAGCGGGAGCGCGTTTCCAATACTTCAGCACCAATGCTGATTCGCGACAATATTGAAGATTGCACCTCTGATGAAGGGTAAAAGAGACAGAGAGTTTTGCTTGAGTTGATGGTGAGCCCGAATTTGGCCGTTATCGAAGCCAGTTCACTAGTCATGTGCTGCAACTCGTCCGCGCTGTGTGCAAACAACGCACAGTCATCAGCAAACAGCAACATTCGGATAGTTGTCTCACAGACTAGAGTTCTCGCACTGAAACGACGGATGTTCAGCAACCCACCATCAATACGGTGCTCCACACGAACACCGTAAGCACAAGCCGCATCAAAAGCACAGGGCAACATTGCATGAAGATATATATTAAACGGGACAAAAGACACAGCCTTGCTTCACACCAGTGAAACTGTAAAGTCATCCGAGGTCTCTCTACTCGGTTGCACCCTCGCTCGCATACCACTGTGCAGACATTCAATTAAACTTACAAACTTAAGCGGGCAACCAAACTTACCCAACACCAGCCACAATGCCTCGCGGTTCACCGTATCAAATGCCTTGGTGAAATGAACAAAAGGCGAGTACAACGGCTGGTGTCGTTCTCTGCACCTCCTGCAACTGACGAGCCGCAAACACCATATCTATAGTGCTGCGACCCGAACGGAATCCGCACTGCTCTTCCGCCACGTTAGGTTCCACAACTTGACTGACTAGGGGGTTGAGCAGGATTCGAGCAATCACCTTGCCCACATAACTCAGCCAGTTGACGCCACGATAATTCGTGCAACATTACTTGCTACCTTTGCCCTTGTACAGTGGTAGCACATGGGCATCCTTCAGCTCAGAAGGCACCTCCTCCTCAATCCACACGCGTTTCACCAAGTGGTGCAGCGCAGTCAACAACGCGGGCCCGCCGTGTTTCAATACTTCAGGCGGGATCCCGTCACCTCCGGCACACTTGCCGTTTCGCAGCTGAGCAAGTGCTCTCTGCGTCTCATCCATTGTCGGCGCAGCCGCCAGATCCGCCTTCCCATAGTGTTGCTTCAGGCCGTTCAATGTAGGCCAGTCGATATCTGAACGGTTGTTCAAGAGACAGTCAAAGTGTTTCCGCCAGATCTGCATTATGTCTGCAGTCTGCGTGCAGGTAGCGCCTGAACTAACATCGATCAGTGTCCTCAGCGCCTCCAATCTCGGTCCATACACCGCCTTCAAGGAGTCAAAGAATTCCTTGTGTTGGCGGCGTTCGGCGTAGCATTCCATCTGCTTCGCCTTCTCCGTCCACCATGCATTTTTTATGCGACGGAGCTCTCGGGTCAGTCGCCGTCGAAGTTTCCGAAACTGAATACTCTTCCCCAAGTCACTGGGGTCTGCTACATGTGCAGCAAATGCTGCATTCTTCTCCGACACCAATGCGTCAATCGTCGCATTGTTTTCATCAAACCAATCAGGCTGCTTGCAGTTTGCGCACCCGATGGTCTCCTCCGCAGCAGCTGTCACCTGGTCGCGAATGTGGCGTCACAGGTCGCCCACTGTGGCTATGCAGTCCACATCACATAGGCGTGCAGCCATCACCTTCTCCAGCTCAGTACGTTTCGCCACAGTACCGAGGGAGAGAATGTTAAATTTACGTCGATGCACGGCGGGAGTGCAATACATAGATTTACGAAAATAAATGTACAGTTTGGTGCGCACCAATTTGTGAGCAGTGCCACACTCAGCTCCACGCAGTACACGTGTCATGCGCACTTCACGCATATCACGCTGACGTACGATGACATAGTCGAGCAGGTGAGCGTGACCACTACGTGGGTGCGTCCAAGTTGCTATATCACTCGCACTCAGTGCAAACTGAGTGTTCGTGATCTCCAGACCGTGAGTGGCACACAGTGAGAGCAGCCTGTCACCGTTCGCATTCGCTGAACCAATGCCATGCGGACCGATGCATCACGCCCAACGCGCGCGTTGAATTCACCCAGCAGAAATAGTCGATCCCTCCTCGGCACAGACCGTATCACGGAGGATAGGTCAGCGTAGAATTGATCACGCGTATCATCAGGATAACACATGGTATGTGCTTATGATGTGGCAAACTTGCCTCTTCCGAGTCGTAGGCGAACAGCCATCAGTCGCGCGCTAATGCCCGTTGGTTCACCCACCAGCTAACCATGGAGCCGATCAGATATTGCAAATCCGACTCCATGATCACGTGGTGCTAGTGCGGCGTTGCCCACCCAGAAGAATGTGTAGCCAGCACCTGCTTCAAGCAACATACCTTGCTCAGCGAGCCGGGTTTCACTGATTGCCGCTCCATGGATGTTGTAGCGCGCTAGTTCCATCGCGACGAGTGCAGTGCGTCGCTCGGGGCGCTCGCTGGAGTTCCGGTCCATTAGTGTGCGCACGTTCCAGCACCCGATGCTGAGTGTTTTGCGCGCAGGCGTACGATTGCATTGGTGGGAAATCGCACGCGAGGTGGCGGATGTGTTTCGGAGGTTTGCTTGAGGGACTCCACACGAAGCCTTTGGCTCAACAGCCTGACCCACAAGGCAGTGCGGAGCAGATCCAGCTCCGGAATGTGATTGCAGAGACAGATTGGGATCTGCTTGACGGCCGTCACACGCAGCCTTGGAGGTACTGGAACGATGCATATATATTTTGCGACCGTAAGAAGATACACCTGCGACCACGGCCAGACGCAGGTGGGTTTTGGCGGGTGTGCACCAATTTGACCAGGGGTTTGCAGTTACATACATGCATACACACACACACACACACACACACTTCTTATTCCAGGATGTGTAAATGATGTTAACCCTAGACGATGTATTTCGAGTACGAAATCTGAATTACCTATCGTCGAAATGTGGGGTGAGTAGCTTTTACCATCGTGATACTCTACACTGAGTGGTCACTACTTACCGCTGTTCCAAGCACCACGGTTTTCATGAGACTAATGAAGTCACTTTCCGGACTGGACCATGTGACAGGTTTTGGTTTGTGGTTAGATAGGACACGAAAGCTTGCCTCAGTGCTAAACAACATCAGCGGATAGCTCAGGAGATTTGAGCTAAATGTGTCCGTTATTCTTCTTGTTTCACTACACCGTCCAACCGGTGGGCTGATCAGCGATCACTGTCGCCTGCAATAGAGCAGGGCGGCGGCTGGTTGGCGATTAATTGTGGCAGCGTGTTCTCGATGTAAGCCTCCTCCTCCGTTCCAGTTTCAACCTGACAGAAACTTATCTCCGAATTGACCAAAAGAAATAAGTCCCAATGCCCCGTGTACCGCTTGACTGGCACACCAGCGAGCCAAACCATGTCAGTCCTATCATCAGACAGTGGTTAGGCGCCATCAGAAGAGAGCAGTAACCGGGCTTGACGTGTACACACCAGAGCTGATCCCAGGCAGTCAAGTAGACCAGGTGTCAGGCACTCAAGTAGACCAGGTCTCAGGCACTTCCTTCGCAGCCCGGTATTTTCTGTGCCGCTCACCACCTGAAACAGTCTCGGCCAACTAGGAATCATCGTCCAATCGCTTGTTCATTCGGTTGTGATTAGTCATGGCAGGGGATCGCCGAAAATCCGCACTATTCATGTGGTTTCATCTCCACAAAGCTTCGAGCGTGCCAAAATCTGCTGGCGCCACCTGAGCTGGCGTGAGACCGGACTACACGAGCACCCCGTCTAGACCGGTAGTGCCTTCCACACCGAAAATCGATCGAATCGACTTCCAGGATGAAAGCGTGTGTACAATACACCGGCGAACAGTAAAGCGGTGGAATCGCCAGCTTCGCTTTGTAAAGTACATCACGTGATTCGTGTGGGATGATTTGTACAGCGGACCCTCACGTTTCGCCATTCCCGCTCGCAAGGTGACCGTTCGTTAGCATTCTGCCTAACAGTTGGGTTTGAACTTGTCCGGCTCAAGCTAACGCAGTGATCGGTGCCCCAAGATTAAGTTCAGATCAGTGTTGCCATAGTTAGCTGGCAAAGTTGGGCCGTGGCAGTGTTGTAGCAGGACTGACTAAATTCCGCATCGCTGTCTCCCACGCCAGTTCTACATAGTTGTCACTCCAAGGACCTCCGGTCGGGCTGAAAATTTACCCTACTCAAATTGCACGAAAATTTATTCTCGACTTGAAACCCCTGTCAAAGTAACTCTAAACTGGCGCTAGCAAGTGTTGGTTTACTTTGAGGATTGGACTTTCTGATGGCGTTTTCTTAGGGTAACGGATGAAGACCGATCTTTTCCGGTTTACCATCGTCCTCTCTCTCGTCCTGTCTCGGCCTAACGTTATCGCGACCCCTTTGACTGTGACCCGGTGTACAGGGTGGCAGGATGTGGCGCACCGTCAATCACATGTGGCGCCCTCTATCGTGAGTTATCTACCACCTAATTGGTCAGCGCGGTTACCCGCCCAACCAATGAAATGAGCGATACAACTCGATCACGGATAAGCTACACGGAGTTGGGCTGTATATTCTTATCGTCTGTGTGTGTGTGTGTGTGTGTGTGCACACTTGTGTATGTACATGTGCGGTACGCACACACTCACGCGCACAATCGGTGAGGACCATAGTTCTTTTACCGTCGGATAACTTCTGGGAGCGAATTCAGTGTTGATGCTGGTCGTTAGGTGTGTTTCGAGCTGCTCGCATCTGTACCGGTTCGCCCCGCTGAGTTGTCTGAAGGTCCAAAACCAATGTTGCTCCTTTGCATTTTGCTGTGCTAACTTCGACTCAGGTAAAACCGAATGGAATTTCAAGTCGCTGAAATGATGAAACCTACCTCATCCGACGGGACTATAATGCAAGGCACCGGACATTTCGTACCTAACATTCAGTGTGGTGTGAACATTTCCTCTTTCGGTGTCGTTCATGTGTTGCGATGCGCAGATTGTGGCTTCGAGACAATCATGCGAGAACGCTTCGTTGCTCACACCCCTTGCGCGAGCAAACAAGAACAGTATTCCCTGTACACCTGTTCCCAATGCGGAGCGTGTTCTACCTCACGTGTGTTGATGCAGGAACACGGAGAATTTTGTCATCCAAATAAAACGGTAAGTTACCCACGCATGTGTTTGCTGCCTAGTTTGGACCTTCCGAGTGTCTGTTCGCCAGGGCGCAGCCATTCCGGTCCTCATTTAATGTTTCATCTACCATGACTCAGGGTCAGCAAATGGTGCATTCCAAGTATGCATCTTAAACACGAAATGACCGTTAGCTTTAACTGATCCAGAACTAACAGTAGGAAATTATTGTGAGAGACGGCATCCCTCATGCTCACCCGTTTCCTTCAGTGATACTCAGTGCTTCTGTATGCGTGTGTGCGAACTTGTCATACCGTGCTTATTATTATTATCATTGTTAGCGTTCACTGAGTTTAGTCATATGCTCCACACACACTTGATGGATTTGTTGTCGACATCTCGCGTGATATGCTGTCAAGTGCACCTACTATGATGTCACATTATCATGGTGCACCGTACCAGTCAAATGTGGGCGGCACTATTGTCTCTTGTTCCGGATTCGCTGTTTAGACTGCACTGGATACCCTGTGATTCTGTTGATGGCAGTTGGCGTAGAGTAGTGACCTGTTATTTCACTTAACGGTGCAATTCACTCCGGTCGATGTGTCACAGATTACATAGAACATGGATGCTAGGGTAAGCAGGCTACTTCTCGTCTCCTGCAGTGGCATAAAACTGTGTGCTCAGTTCGTGATGTCAGAATCGAGGAGACCCCCCATGGGAATCTGATTTAGTTGTTCGAAACGGGGAAAGCGCCGTCCACGCTGAACACGGTGCGGGATCTTCTACCTAGGTGCATTCTGATTCCTCTCTTGGCTATGGGTAGTTGCGTGGTAAATCTGGGGTTCCATGCTAGTACCAGAATTTCTAATCCTTTTGGAATCGCGCTTCAGTTTGACGAATCTCTGATTTGACCACAATCTTCTGTAGTGTCAATTGGGGTTCCTGCTCCAACTTGTGAAGAAGACGTATTCACACATTAACATCGGCATCCGCATGAAACTGAAGACTGTGCACACAAAATACACTGTTCTCAAAGTCTAAGACCGAGCGGGCTTTCTATGTTTGTGCTTCGAAACAGAAGTTACCTCACCGGATAGGACTGGTATTAGTGTGTTTTTATTTTTGTTTTTCATACCTTGGTCCCGTCTTGCGTGTGTGATGAACCAATACATCCCTATCCGGTGGCTTCACTTCAGATACTCGACGCACAACCATAAGAAGCCCACTCGGAATCAACCCTCGAGGACACAACCGCATGTTAGCCGACCGAAAATGCTTCTGACCGATAGACGTTGGACATGATTAAAATGGGTCTCTGGGTTCCAATCTGGTAACTTTGAGAATAGAAAACTCATTTGGGTACGAAGTGTGCACACCCATTGAGCTGCTAAGTGTGACCCACTTGGAGCCCCGAGATTAGCACCGTTCCGGTACCAAATCGGGTTTGCTAACATTGCCAGATTGTCTTTTTGCAAATCGGGACGCCGGCTTTTCGGTCCATACGACTGTTCGCAACTCACTCAGACATCTACATGCTCAAGGCAGATGGGATTAGGCTACACTATCTCGTCTACCCCGACACATTCGTCTCATTTTGACTGGTAATCCCAGTCTCAAAGATTTTGACACTGAAAATGGAATCCGATATCACCCAAGGTAACATGGTTTCAGAATAGTACGCAAGTGGTCCGGCCTATCCGCGATGCGTACCGAATTCGGATCTGGGTCTGACAGACCACTGATTCGATGAGAGATGTCAACCGGGTTATTTGGGAGTCATCGGGTATTCTACGAACACTGCGAGGTAACTCAAGGGGAGTATTTGATCCCCCAACTTCTCTGCGACGCTGGCTCAGGTTGCACTCGTTTTACATGGACTTTCGAACACAACTGACAATATAAATTGAAATTTTAAGTATCGTATCATCAGTCAAGAAGAAAGATGGTGTTACAGGCGACAAAACGCGTTATCTGCTTATTCTAAGGATTTTCTAAGGTTTCCATGGCTTTCTGTGATGCTTTGCTTAGCGGTTGCTGAACTCAGTCGGTGTACATCACCCCAAGTCGATTCGGCATCGTAGATAAGTGAAAACCCACTCAGTATAACGCTCCACTAGGGACTTTATGTTCCCACACACCTGCACCAACACACTATCTAGCTGCAACGTCCACTTGCAGTGATTTTGGTGGCTTTCTTCGAGGTGTCCCCGCACTTATCTGAAGGGAAATTTAGGATGGCCCGTGACTCTCAGTACTCCCTGCATCCTTTAGTAACTTGCATGGGGGCAACCTATTGAAACCCATGTCTTCAGACTGACGTCTGTGCATTACTGAATTGCACCGCAAGCTCAGGTCCGAGAATTGTTGATCACTTCCATAATACCATCGTCTCGCTTGCCGAGGATGGTGCCCGGTGTTCATATTACACAACCCCTACAACGACTGGCAAGCAGAAGCAGACTGCGTGTAACAGGACGACGTCATACTCCTTACCGTAAATGGATATGTTCCTCCGCAACATCAGTTCTACGAGACTGGAAAGTGATCATGAGACATACGATCTCATCTATTCATCATAGTGTCCTCATAGAAACTTTGGCGCGGTGTCGGTTTGAAGCGGAGTCCGTTAAGCTAAGCACAGACGGCTAGGAGGCTTTCACCGTGACTGTTAAGGTTCCTAGTTGTGTTCATCCGCGTGTGAGTAGACGGAGTCTCACCCATTCATTGGTGTTTCGTAGTCTTCACAAGATGTTTGGGCCGTCAGGCTGAATTGGCAATTAGATGTGTCCCCAAAGTACTTGTAGAGCACTAGGGCTTACTACATCATCCCCAAACTCTCAGCTGAGCCTCAGGAAGGTAGCAGTCACAGGTCAGGACATTTCTTTCCTCCGGCTACGCTCACTTATATCTCAAGGAACTCATCGATATATATATATATATATATTCCATTTGGGGCGTTATTATTTCCGAATCATTGCATCCTCAAATGAGCAAGCTAAGGAGCACTGCCAAGAGGGAGGTCCCACCATTGGTCCTAATGCACCAGCGGAATGCCAGCTGCTTCGAGGTAAATCGCTGACCCCAACCAACATACATGCTGAGAGTAACCACACGACAAGGACAGCTAGCGATGCCCAAGTGCGAATGAATTTTGCTCAAAATACATGTATTCCCTTCGCATTCGCTGACTGCAGTTTTACTGGCGGAGAGGCCAGAATCGCTGACAAGGAAGATGTAACCTCACATTCACCTCAAACGGAGTCCAGAAGCTGCACTGGTCGATGGCGGTGTGCAGATGACTGGGGTAACTTAACATGTAACTTTCCTAGTCATGCATGAGGCATTTTACACCTACCGACCGCATTCACTTGTGGTCCGTATTTCCTTCGAACTAGCAGCCTAGCGGATTTTGTTTTACCTCATGCGGCAACTTGAGGCTGTGCTCGCACGGTATAGTCTAGGCTACACATGAGGAAAACGATGGGCCACTGAAGTGTATGTATGCGTTTATGTGCCAAAGCACTTGAGTGATGGGTTTGTGCGGTTAACCAGCTTCGCATGGAAGTGCTAATTTCAAGAACTGTGGTTACTTCGGCGACACTCGACGCTGTAAAAACCGGCCATTAGCCTCAACCTTAAACTGGCCTTTCTGTCACTTTTCAACAGACGACCCAGACGAAAATTAATGATCCTGAGCTTCATGTCCAAAAATAATGCTTGCCCCTTTTAAGAATGGAGATTAGGCGCAGAGAATAGCAATAATCTTTCACACTTTCGACCCCTGAACGATCGCGGCAGATAGCCAGGTGATGAGTAGTAGCGCTCGCGTTTGAACCGGTTTGTACAATAAAGCCTGTCAAATATGGAATCGCCCCATCAGCGAGCGTTTTGCGTGCCTGGCAGTACACCACCCCAGTGCAAACTGCGGGGAGCAGATGGTCGATCTTTCATTGAAGCCCTCAATGCTTAGCTTCTTGTTATCGCTGCTGTTGTTGTTGTCGTCGTCGTCATCTTAACCGTCTGTGGCAGTAGTGGTATTATTGATGGTAAGGTTAGAGTGAACAGCGGAATTTTCTTCTGTTCACTTGCAGCAGAGTGCTATAAACTCAAGTGGTCTTCATTCGACAGGAATAATATTTGCGGATAATAGACATGCGAAGCAAAACGCGTTGTGGCTGGTGGGCTAAGTGGAGTGGGGGGGGGTGGAGTGGAAGAAGGCGAACCAGGGTGCGCACGTCGTGTGCACACCGATCGGTTCGCTGTTTTGATGGTGCACCACCATCAGCGTTGTTCAGACGCAGCCGTCAACCGAACATAAAACTGTACCGCGGTCCGCCTGCAGCATGGACGGAAAATGATCAGACTGGCGTCGACATGTGCTGAAAACTAGCTCTGACGTTGAGGCCAGCCGCCGATAGCTACTACACAGTTCATACGTGTGAGCTGTCGTGCATCCACTGACTGGAAGACCACAGTGTCTCCATTCCCTCCATTTTTGGGTTCATTGAAGGGCCTTCAATACTGGCGCCCTTTGATGAAATCGCGAACTTCGGTACAACTCTTGCAGCTGTTCAGATTATCGAGTATTGTCGCCTCGCTACTCGGCATAGCTTGACAACTAAACAATTGCAGTAGGTTCTTCAGCGGCTCGTCAAATACGGTTCATTCCGTCTCCCGGCTCGAATTACCCCATAAGTGAGACATACATCAGGAAAGGAAACAGGTGTTCGAATTGTTACCTGTTTCAAGGCGTCACCACTGTGGTAGGCTTGGATGCAACGCGAGCGCCTCCGAAGGGATGCGTCATTTGTATAGAAGTCCAGTGGGGCGCATAGTATACGTTTTGCTTCGCTCAACTTTAATGACCTACAATTTCGCATCGGATTTAACCTGATCAGCAGTGGGGAAAGTGTTACTGCGCCATTTGTAGCGGTTGCAGCCATAGACAGATGTGCTTTGCCGAGTTGATCGTTTCGACAAAATATTCACCTGCTAACTTTATGTGAAAGAAAACCAATCGTACTCTT